GGTAAATTCAAAGGTGGCCGTTTGACGATAAGACTAATTCTACCAAAAAGAAAATAGTGAGAGATGTATTTTTCTGCTGAATCCAGAAATCATTACTTTGAGATAGCTCTTATGTGATAATCGGTGCTCTGAATAAAATTAACTATATATTAGCTGCGTGTGTTTCTTGAAGTTTATTCTATAACTGCAGAATATAAATCAAAGTAAAATTTTAAGAGGACTTCTGAAGTATTTCTTTTCAGTTTGCTGGAAAGGATTATGCACCTACAAAATATGTATAAAGAAGAAAAGCTGGGGTGGTTTCAGGTTTATATGTTGTTCTGACTGGCCTAATTGCACTTGATTATGTAACGAGATACTGTATTTTTATTTTGGGTTAATAAATACGAAAATCCTAAACTGATCTCTCCTTATGGTGTAAAGGCAATCGTTGAATAGGAACGTATAGGATGCCACCTACTGCTTCAAGTGATCAAAGAACCTCTTCCTATTTTCTGATGACCTGTGACTAGATCAGATGCCAAATGTAAAAAGTTACTTAATAGCTGGGATTATTTCTTCTGTAGACATATTTCAGCCAAATCTTTTTAATTTTGCCGGTAACTCTGTGAATCAAGACACGTGATGTTCAGAAAAGAATAATACGTTCAAAAAGCTGTGACTTTAAACAACTGTTGGTGTTAGAAAAGAAGCACTAAAGGTATTTTTAAAAGAAACCATAGGTCTCGTCCACCGGAAATCGACTTGTTTCTGTTGTTATTAACTTGAAATGTCATCAGAATTTTTAATAAATGCATTTGTAAAAATATTATTTTATAGAAAAGTATTATCGGATATCATTTTTGGAGAGTCAGGAATGAACAAAATAAAAATAGTTACAAATGCTGGGTTTCCTTTCATCTGCCCCAAACGATTGGAATGTTACAAGCGACACCACGTTTGTATTATACGGTAATGACTGATGTATGTATTGAAAAGTTAAGGAGCTTGTTTTGTAATAAATACAATCCTTATCGAGTACAAAGAAAACAAAATTCATATGTTAATAAAACAGATGGTGAAAATAAAAGCTTTGCAGAGTTTCCTATTTTCATGGTAGGAAACTGTGCAAAACCAGAATGTTCTGCTTTCCGTTGGATGAATCAGAATAGTTCATAAACCCACCAAATGCTCATGAGGCCTTTAAAAAAATGCCTCACTAAAAACATCGAAAGGAAGAGAACAAGGGAGGAAGAAAGGGAGAAAAGGAGAGAAAGAGAGGAAAAGACAGGCAGGAAAGGAAAGGAAAGGAAAGGAAAGGAAAGGAAAGGAAAGGAAAGGAAAGGAAAGGAAAGGAAAGGAAAGGAAAGGAAAGGAAAGGAAAGGAAAGGAAAGGAAAGGAAAGGAAAGGAAAGGAAAGGAAAGGAAAGGAAAGGAAAGGAAAGGAAAGGAAAGGAAAGGAAAGGAAAGGAAAGGAAAGAAAGAAAGAAAGAAAGAAAGAAAGAAAGAAAGAAAGAAAGAAAGAAAGAAAGAAAGAAAGAAAGAAAGAAAGAAAGAAAGAAAGAAAGAAAGAAAGAAAGAAAGAAAGAAAGAAAGAAAGAAAAAGACAAGAAAAGAAAAGAAAAAAGAAAAGAAAAGAAAAGAAAAGAAAAGAAAAGAAAAGAAAAGAAAAGAAAAGAAAAGAAAAGAAAAGAAAGGAAAAGAGGAAATAGAGAAAGGGAGGGAGGGAGGGAGGGAGGAAGGGAGGAAGGAAGAAAGGGAGAAAGGGAGAAAGAGGGAAAGAAGAAAAGAGAGAAAGAAAAAGAGAATGAGAGAGGCAGAAAGGAAGAAAGAGAAAGGAGGAAAGGAAGAAAGAAAGGAAGAAAGGGAGAAAGGAAAGAAAGGAAGAAGGAAAGAAAGAAAGAAAAGAAGGAAGGAAGGAAAGGGAAAGAGAGAAAGAAGATGTTTCTATTTGTGTTTATAAGCTCTAACGTAAGGTCTATTAAAACTTTTGCATTCGAGTAAAAAAAAAAAAATCACATTTATTCCCCAACCACCTGCCGCCTCCTCCACATAGACTAGCAGTTTGTGACAAAAATATGTAGATATCCACACTCCCAGTACGTGCACAACGGGCCGGGGCCGTTGCAGCTGGGTCCCGAACCGCAGGGCCGGGCCCCTGCCGAGGCCCCCTCAGTACTGTGATCCTTCGAACTGCCTTTTCCTACACACCTGAGGCATCTCGCCGTCTTCCCGATGTGATTTTCCAGTTCTCAGCCCGTCAGACCCTGGCTGGCTCCCGGAATTTCTGCTTAACACTTGTTCTCCTATTGCTTTCAACTTAGATTAGTCCATCATAAGTGAATAACAGACACCCACTGCCACGGCCGTATTGATTTTTACTCTCCTGTGATATTAAGACTAATTCGGTCCTGGTTCAACAAGTAAAAAGTCTTCCCAGAAGGAGAATGAAGTGTCCTACAGCACAGGTTTTATGGTTTATGTGCCCCCCCTCCTCGCCTCCCCTTGTCCCCCCTTCCCTCCGAAGAGAAATAGATTTGTCGGCAGATAATTATTTTAACTCTGATGGACTCGAGCACATAAAGCTTGATTCCGCCGCTGCCGCTCTGTGTTATTCTGGAATTTCCCAAACGATTTTAAATCCCTCCAGTTATTTATGTCTCGCTTTTTAGCCGGCGCTATTTTTTATTTTAAAAAAGCTCTGTTATATTTACCTACTGATTCGGGGCGGGGGGTGGGGGGGAGGAAGGGGAAGGAAGGGGGGCGGAAGGAGGGGAAAAAGCCTAATTGATTTTAAATTTCCGATTCGCTTGGGAACCCGTTTTCACCTGCCAGACGGGCGTCTGATTATGGGTAATTATGTTACTTAAGAGTTGATAAGATGTTGATAAGAGCATGGAGGCCGCCGCTGCCTGGGACACGGACCCTTCACAGGCCCCGGGTGCGAAGGAGACACACGCGGGGTCGAGCCGCGGCGTGGCGGGGCCGGGCTGCAGCAGCAGCCGCCACCATCCCCATCCCGTGCACCGCTGCAAACACAATTACGGAGCTGCCGTTAATAATTCATGGGCTGAGATTTGGAAAAATTAATAAAATGAATTATAACAAGAGGCTAATTAAAAACTTTAGTAATTGTTGTCAAGGCAGCTTGATGGGAGGCGTGCTGCACGGACAGACACCCCCCCATATCCCCCCCCACCTCCTTCCCGCTTTCCCTCCTTCCCCTTCAGGTTTTGGAAAGGTATTTCTTTTCTCCTCTTTTGTAACCCCTTGGCACCTGAAGGAGGCTCAATTTAGGAGAAAAGCAGTGGGTGGGTATATAGGTCAGCTGAATAGATAGGTCCCAGAAATGGGACCTGCCAGACCTGAAGACAAGTCTCTTCTCATTATGGCGAGAGCGGTGGGCGGTGGGTGGTGGCACGTGTGGATGGATGGATGGATGGATGGATGGATGGATGGATGGATGGATGGATGGATGGAATCCAGGGATCAAAAGTTAATATAAATAAGATGTCACATAGAAATATTTGAAGTAGCGTCCATAGTAAAAAGCGGCGGTCAGCACCAGGGCGGCCCTGCCCCGCTGCCGGGCCGACTAGGAGCAGGCAGCGACAGACAAGAAGAAGCAGAAGTGGGGAAGTGGAAGTGGGCAGAAGCGCACCTTTTCTGATTTTGCTCTGGCACAGCAGGTAACAGCGGCAGCCGGTGCTGGGGTTGCCTCCACGGGGAGCGGAGCGGCAGCAGGGTGCTCACCGCGGGGCCTCTGGCCTCCCAACGCTAATTCAAGGTGCAAACTCTAAAAAGGACTTAGCACGGTGTTTCCGCGGGCAGACGGGGCCCCGGAGCCCTCTTGTGCTGCAGTGGTGTGGATTTACGGCCGTGTCACAGCCAAACCCAGCCTGAAGCTGATGGCCAAGGGGCAGCTGGGCAGGCAAAACCCTCTCCTCAAACTGGTCTAGGGACTTGCGAGAGGTCACAGCCCGTGTGGGCAAGTAAGAGCCTTCGTCTGAACTGCATCTTAACTCCTTCACCCTGATTACCTAAGTATGCTAGAGCACCTCTAACTCTGGGGAGAAGAGTTATTAAACACCTCTTACAGAAAAATAAAAAATATGTATATATGTACGGGGAAGCGAGGAAGGGGAATGACTTTTAAAATTGATGTCATAAGGCATTAATCGCTCTAAAGACTGAAGTATTTAGCAGGCTTTACACAAAAATTAAATAAATAATATAAACGCACACACATTGTGTGTGTTGGTACGTTGAAGATCAATTGTTTGATTTTCAAAAAGCGGGTCCTAAAAGCCTCAAAATAGCCTCCCTCTGTGTGGACACCAGCCGACCACTCCCCGCTTGCAGAGGATGAAGCATCCAGCTAGGTCCTAGTGCGAAGGCAAAACCAGCCCCGAGCCCGGTTAGGCAGCAGGAGCCCTCCCATACTCCGCGCTGCGGGCGCTCTGGGGGGCGGAGAAGAATGAACGCGGGCATCCCTGACCCAGGTAAAGGGAAGCTACTTAACTGTGTAAACCCGAGCTAAAATGTGTAAAAACTGTGGTTGTACAAGCTGTGGGTCTGGGTTTGCCCTTGGGTTGTTGTTTTTGGTTTTTGGTTTGGTTTTTTTTTTTTTTGGTTTGTTTTTCTCTTTCTTCTTCTTTTTATTTTATTTTTATCTTGTTTTTTCTTTTCTCTTTCTTTCTTTTTTTTTTCTTTTCCTTTTTTAATTTATTAAAAAAAGTATCCTTTGACAAGAGGACGCCATGTCAACATGAATGAACCTTTTCACAGGCTACGTGACAAGGCACTTATATACATAACTTCGCCCTCCATGATGGTCATTATGTGAACCGAATTACTACCAAAAGTTTGTTCGGTGACTAATTACAGCTCACTAAACCTCTGCCTCTCTTCACTTCAGCATAATGTATACAAACTTTTGTACACGCGGATCAGAATAAAACAAAGTGTTGACAGCATCCAGCAGTGGAAATTCACTTACACAAGACTTTTTTTCACTGAAGTGTTGACAATAAACATTTAATGAAGGCAGAGACTTGGATGTCTCCAGACAGTGTCAGAATACTTTAAACAGACCATTAGCATGGCTTCTTCTACTTCAAACAGAGCACACTATACCATAACATTATAAAAATACAAAGTATGAAACAAATAATCTGTTTATACAGATATTTTAAGCTGTTTTCACCAGTTCTGACATCCCCTGTATTTAGTAACAGAAACTTATTCATTTCAGATTACTCGCGCTTAAAAAATGTTAAATACAGTTAATGCAATATTAATCGCCCTTTGGTGATATAAAATGCAATATTTTCAGGCAGCTATCGAGCTTTTCTAGAGGAAGAGCTGATGAAAACAGTCACAGCTGAATAGTGGAGAGAAAAAAGCTCTGTATTTATTGCTTTTGTTTGGCTTTTGGCTACAGAGACAGGAACATTCTAATGGGGTAAGGACATTTATTTTATCTGCAATCTATTGCTGCTAGAGCAGGAGTGGCAGATGGGGTTTGGTGTTATATTCACAGAGTAATTTAGAGCAAATCCTAATAACTAATAATGATTTATGTTAATTTCAATCACTTATGTGACTTTATTAAAGCGCTGCTGTAAGAGGAATGGAAAGCGGGGGGTGGAGGGGAGACTGGGGAGAGGCAAGCTGTGCCTGTCTGAAACCAAACCGTATGCTTGAAGGGTTGCTGTGGTGGGGGCTCCAGCACAATTTCTGACCTGAGGAAGCAGGCACCAGCTACCCCTGGTGCACGGCTTGCTTTTGGAGACTGGACATCTCCGATGCTCATGCCTTAAAAGCAAAGCCCTGTGTAGAAAGCCCGTCCGCCTACGAGGCGAACAAGAGAGCAAGAAAAGAGAGAGGGTTGCGAGAGAGACTCGTATTATGCAAAATGTATTGATTGTGTGCGAGGAATCTGCGATGCTGATGTGCTGAGCTCCCGAAAGAACAGAGGAGGCTGCTGACGGTATAGCTAGAAAGACCCTAAATGCACAGGACGTGAAACTTTTGTTCTGTACTGTTTCAGCATGGTGGAGGTCTGCAGTGATCTGCTAACCTCGCATTGACTTTACTCCTCACTGCAATTCACAGAATCTTAGAATGGTTTGGGTTGGAAAGGACCAAAAGATCACGAAGTTCCAACCCCTCTGCCAGGGGCAGGGACACCTTCTGCTTTTCCCCACAGGATTTTAGATTACTAGGGAAAAAGAAAATAAAATCTGAAACTCCAGCCATTGCAGTGAGGTTTTCGTATTTTCCTCTATCACTTTCAGGTTCATTACCAGCTGATAGTACCGGAGTGCACACACATCAACATATCGCCATGTGGGCACTGAAACAGGAGATGTTTGCAAAGCCGGGAAATCTCAAGCCAGCCAGTGCTGCTCTGCATAGGCTCGGTTTGATGTAGGAGCGAGGAGTACTTACAGGATTTTGAAAGGGAGGGTGCTCTTCGCTTCTGGCAATTTACTTTCCCAGCTACCTTTATGCGTTTTTCTGCCTTAAGGCATTCAGTCTGAAAGTAAAACATCAAAGCTGCTTATTAACACTATTTTCCTGAAATCAGAAGATAAAGCTACCTGAAACATTTAATCTGTTGTTAGCATTTATTTCCCAACAAAACAACCAGAACAAAGTTCAAAAGAGCTAGGGCAGTTATCTACAGGAGTCTAAAAGGCAAAGTGCAGGGAGTGATTTATGTTTCTGTCAGAACTCTTGAAATGGATTAAATAAACCCTAGGTTTTTCTGCATTCTCAGCCACTATGTTTCGTACTGTAATCCCCCCTTCCAAACTACACGGCTGGGAATAACCATCACCCCCCTTCCCCATCCCTCCCGCTGCCAGGTGCGCGTTTCCTAACTTTTGGGTTATTTGCGGAAATCCGTCTTTTCCGCTCTACGATCTGGCACCGTGTTTAAAATTAGACCGGTTTCCACACAGGACAATCTTTGTGTTCTCTGTAGTGAAGATTTTATAGAGAGCAACATCTTGTTTTCCTAGATGAAAGCAAAAAAAGACACAAAAAGAAACAAAACAAAACAAGGAGGGAGAGAACCTCCGATTTCATGGGGGATGTTACCACCTCTTCGCTTGAAAGAGGCGCAGGACTTCCAAACCCGCGGCTGTGTGAGCGTCTGCTTTTTGAACTCTCAGTGCGGTGAAGACGGGCGCGCTGCTCGCAGGCGGAGCGGCCGCGGGCAGCGGGGGGAGGAGCCCCCCCCCTCCACGGCAGTGCTTCAGCACTGCGGAGAGCTCCGGCGGGGCGGTGCGGGGAGGCGGCCTGCCTGCCTGTCTGTCTCTCTGTCTCTCTGTCGGGCTGGCTGGCTGCACAGAAGCCTGTAATATGTTAATGGCCGCGGGGTATGCCCGAGGTACCATCTCAAGCTGCTTCGCACACCATATGTCAGGCCGTTAGCCACATGGATCTATTAATCAAAGGGGGAGAGAGAGGAAAGAGAAGCGGAAGGGGGGGCAGGGTGTGTGTGTGTGTGAGCTTTTAATACCCCACACTATTTTTCTGTATACTTCCTCCTTTCATTTTCCTCAGACATAAAGACCCGGAGTACCTCGAACACACAGCCGTAATTCTCTTTTGATCCGCACTCTTATACCCTCGTGTAATGTAATCAGTTCGGGTCAGCCGATAGCGAGATTTGAGGGAGAGGGGTGTGTGCATTTCACGTTTCCTCCGGCAAAGGATTTGGTTTTCGAGTGCTGCTCAACCCCTGTGACAAAGGGGATGTCTGTCCGCCCCTTCAGCTTCCTCCTTGCGGAGGGTGCCTCTAAGGGGAAGGGTTTTTCTAGCGAGCCAAGGATCACTTCCCCTGCAGGCAGCCAGACCGCCCTTCCCGCTTTTACATGTGCCCCGTTACCTACTGCAGCACGTCGTTTCTTCACGGGGGGTTTGTCCCACGGTGAAGAAACCCGTGAGCTCCACAAAATCGCCGGGAGCAGGGGAAGAGGTGGTCTGCGTAGGAAAGCGGGGTAAAAGCCCTCTTGTAGGTGAATTCTTCATGCAGCCCTCTAACCTCGGACCAGCAGGCCCGCCTCAGCCTTTGCGGTTCAAGCAGATAAAGATGTCCTGATGTACCTAACGCCAAGGCTTAGCGCCCGAGGAAGTGCGCAGGCTCCCGGGTTCGGTTTATGCTTTCTTTGGGACATGAGGTGTTCTGGGGGGACTTTCTCTCCAGGGGTAGAATGAACACCCTCACAAGGGATTCTCCTGGACCCTGCTGGCCAGCCCGTAGGTGACAAGGCGGGGTACAGCCCGGGCAATCAGCACTCCCAGCACAGTTCCGAGACTGCTGTTGCTTTGTTTTTGCTTTTCATTCATGATGAATGGAGGTGGGGTGGCGGGGTGGTGGAGAGAATTACAGAGGCTGACTTTTCGCTCAGGCACATGCCACATCAGGTTTTGGAATTCTAAATTTTTATAGAGCACTAGAACAGCCCAGGAAAGTTACTGAGCAGTGGAGGACGGGGAACAGGACCACCTTGGTACGCCAGGACCCTGAGTAGGGTCCTCTCGTGGGGAAAGGGAGGGTGGATAGAGCAGAACCCCTACCCCTGATCTCCACGCAGAGGTGCACGCACTGGAAATGATTGGAAAACACCCGGAGAAAGGGAAAAGACGTGGGCTAGATCTGAGACATGAAACACAAGGATTAATTCTGCTTTTCACAGGTTTACATAAAAAAGGTCAAGATCCCCCAGCTGGCTGGAATTTCCTCTGTTGGTACCCTGCATCACAAAGAGGCGAGTCAGAGGGAAGAAGCGCTGGAGAAAATTTCTACCACTGCAGACAGGAGATAGTAGTAACCTGATTGATTTTGCTCTATGGCACATTGCATAGCTTATGTTGAAGTCAGTCTTTAAGACAGACCTAGTTTCTGACCCCTTTTTCCCTTTCAGTGTCTAGAAAAATCACGAGTGCATCTGTGCTTAGATCCAAAGCTTCCAGAACCTTTGCTTTAATACAGGTTGCATTTAACCTGAAAAAAAAAAAGCAAACAAAAAAGCCAAACCCAAAACCCCAACCCCCCCCCCCGAAAAAAACACCAAAAAAAAAAAAAAAACAAAAACCCACAAACAAACAATCCCCCCCCCCCCCCCCCCAAGAAAAAACAAAAAAGCCTTTCTAGGCAACACTTTACATCAAGACAGAGGTAAATGCACAGGCTGAGTGTCAGCTGATTCTGCGTTTCCACCAGCCAAGGAAAGGCTCTTGTTACTTTTAAATTTTGGTGCACACACCACCCATCATTTTCTTCCTCTATTTGAAAGGTAACCCATATATCTGTCGTTTTAGGTTTCCAAAGACTCGTAACTTAATTCCTTCAGGCTATTCATCAGCACAGTAATTAAACTAGCAAATGGATGTAAATAAAGTGAAATTGGTTTCATGACAGATGAGCCGAAGAGGCCTCTGACATGAAACAAGCCAGGACAATAATTATTTCTGCATCGGGCTATATGAGGAACTCCATCTGGATTTATTAGGTGCTGCAAGTTATTTGCTGGGAGCAGGCAAGACAGGAGGACTCACTTTAATTTGACAGGATTTTTTTCTTCTTTTTTGCATCCTAAGTAGGTTACAGAAATATAAATCTAGAATTAACTTTGGCAATACTCTGAGAAGCCTCTACCCAATACAAAAACTCTGCAGTAAAAATACGTAGTAGGAGAAAGGCTCATTAAACATTTTCTTCCCAAATGTTAAACAAGAGGGAAAATCTACATTAAAACCCCTGTTCTCGAGCTATCCCCTATTAAACAATAATCCAGATCACTGTGGAAGCCAGTGTCTGCTTCTCTTTCCTACAAACGTACATGTGATATAGTGGAGGCAATAGAAAGAAGGCAAATTTGGAGACCTCAGGAATTCTGAAAAGCTTCCCTGAAAGAAAAAAAAATAAAAACAAGGAAAAAAAAAAAAAGAAATCTAAGGAATCTCAGCAAAATAGTGTCTGTTAAGAGCCCCCCACTCTCACTTGTCTGCCAAGGAAAAGTTTGTACCTGCAGAGAACAGGAGAGCAGAGAATAGGGCTGTGAAAAGGAGGGTATGGATTCTGCAAGGCTGAACTGTAATTGGAGCCATCAGGTCCAGCTTGGAGTGGAAGTAATATACAGAATAAATAAAAAAAGGGCTCTCACAGCAGGTGCAGATTAGTCCCTTTTCCCCTGAAAAGATTAGAAACTGACTGCTTTATGCTTAAACGTACTCTCAATTATTTAAGCGCCCCTTCGTGATTAGCAAGTTAAAGTAACGCTCCAAAAGCGCTGAAGAAATGAAGCAAGAATAACATCACTTTCCCACAGCTCACGTCGGCTTTCCAGCACGTACCCAGCTCCTGCCGGCCAACAGAGCGCAGGCCGGGGAACTCTCTAGTGTGCATGCACCTGGACGGTGGGCAGGGGGGGAAGGAGAGAGAGAGGGGAGAAAGAGGGAGGGGGCAAGGGCAGCGTGAAAAAATCTCGCTGTCGAGGCTATGCAAGCTGCAGCCCAGCCTGGCTTCACACGCGATTGTGGTCTGTGGGCACATTTTCCCGAGGATGCTGGACCCTCAACGTCTCTTTCACTGGGAAAAAAAACCCAAAACAAAAACAACCCACACCACCCCAAAAAAGCCAACCCCTCCCCCCCCCCCAAAAAGAAAAAAACAAACACCAAACAAACAACCCAGAAACCCTACCCAACCAACCAAAAATATAAACCCATATCTTATGTCGCCCCAAAATCCCGAACAAAAACCCCAGACAACCCTCTTGGAACGGGCTGAAAATGAATCGACGATGCCTGTGTGATTTGGTGAAGGTTCATGTCTTTCTGCTATCCCTTCCTCACTGTGTAAGGGACTGTGATAACTGCAAAGCCAGGGAGAGATCCTAAAGGGACTGAAATCCCCTTATGTCTGAGGCTTTCCCTTTTAACACACACCAGACTAATTATTTAAAAGTTCTTGTAAAATTAGAAGACATAGCCCAGTCCTTTAATTAGAATACACTGTGAATAGGGATAGCATATGGAGGGGAATGTCAAGAAGAGGGTGCCAGGGGCAGATCCTAGGAAATCTGTATTCATTTCTGCCTCCTATTTGTTCAGTAATCTCTACCATCATAACTAAATCTTGGAGCACTGATGTAGTTCGAGTTGTTGTTGACTCAACGTCAAAATTCAATCACTGGGGGTTTTGCATCAGCCGGGCTACTTATTTGTCTAATAAATCCGTCATTTTGTAAGAAAAATATTTGAGCAGCCGTACTTGACCTCTTGGTATCCACAAGCCACATTTATTTCTACCAGTTTACAAATGCAAAATGGAGATGATCATCTTAATGCCTCGAGGTGCTGTGTTGATTTCTGATTGGATTTTAGATGGAAATGTCTATTTTAAATACCCTGTGATTAAATTGTACATATAATAGAATTCATGCCTCTCAACTCAACTCCTGATTTGCAAACCCAGGTTTTCTTTAAAAAAAAGAAAGATTATTTAAGCATAAATTGTTTTCT